GGTTGAGAGGAACCACCACAGTGGACGACGGAGCCGGCACCGGAGCACGGTGCCACCGCTGTGCCGAAACCCTAAATTGGCATCTGTTAGCTGAAAAAGGCAAAAACTGAAACCCTACCGGCGAAAGAATCTCCTAGTGTGGCATCTCCACCATTTCTCCTTTGCAGTCAGGGTGTTTCTTCGATTAACCTGCATCAGAACGAAATGAGGAACACAACAGTCAAAAAATCATGGAAAACGAGAATCGAGAAAGGGCTCATTGGAGGGGATTTTGAATTTTGGCCGTGGCGGCTCGAACGAGCATCGCTCGTATTTTCTAGCTCACCTTTCAACCTTTTAGCTCTGATATAGGCATAGGAAGATTCATGATTAAATTTTGAGCAGAGGGGAGGAAAATCTTACCTTTTTGGTGTCGGTGGTGGCTTCGGTGCGGCGGTGATGGTGGTCGATCTCATTCTCCGACGTCTAGTTCACTTCCCGACCACACTTTTTCTTCTTCTCCGGTCACCCCTCTGTTGGCTAAGGTTTTGGTTCTCTGTGAAGAGGAGTTTAAATACTTCTTTTCTCTCGATCTAGGCCGTTCGTTCGAGTCGACGTGGACTAAGGAGAATCGTCCGATCGTTGCCTATTTAGGCCGATCACGTGTGTAAATCAGGACCATCCATCATGATCAATCCCATTCATCCGATTGTGTCTGAAGTGGAAATAGATCCGGGCAGTTCGTGTGCGTGGGATGCAATCTGGACCGTTGGATTACCCAGACTGTGGATCGTTCGCGTGGCTTCTGCTTGGAAACGATGTTAGTGTGTCCACCACGCGACCATTCTGACTCGCCGTTGCTGCTGACATAGCCGTCCCACTTGGCCGGATTTTTCATTTTTGTGATTTTACCCTATGTTTTAAATTTTTTTTTTCAAAAGAACCCATCATTATTCATAGTTTTTCTATTTTTCTAAAATTATTTTCAATTTCGTCTCTAAATCCATTTTTCTCGAAAATTTCACAAAATTAAAATAGAATAAAAATTAAATTATTTTAATATGTTATTTTATTAATTGTAAAATTATTCCTGATCAAATTTCTAGACCCGGGTGTTACAATCTGTCTGCGCTAGGTACAAAGATCAGAGCCATCCTCTCTATTCCTAACTCAATCAAGCAAATTTCTCCTTCGTCAAGCCTCGTTTTTTCTCCAAAATCTCTGTTTATGGCATTCCTTTCTCCACCGGCGCTATTCATTCACTTCCTTCCAAGAACTTCCTCCTCACTGGTTTAGTATCCCTTTAGATTTCATAATCAATGTAGAGACACTAGAAACTTGTTCCCGGCCATTTGTCATTTCAACCATCGACATTGATTTTAGATAAAACATGCTAGGGAGCCACCCGCAGTAGATGATGACCAAAAAAAGAAGTAAAAGACAAAAAAAAGGGAATATGAAAATTAAGTTTCAATTTTTTGGATCTCTTTTCAATTTAGGTTTTAGTTTTTCTCCTGTTACATCAGCAAGAAGTACATGATTTTGAGCTTTTCTATATTTGCAACTTGAGAAAAGTTTAAACAAAAATAAGATATTAATGTGTTTTTCTTTAATATAAATATATATATATAATATATTATATAAAACAAACAATATATAGTTGTTTGATCCACTCTCTTGTAATCAATAATATTTTCAATATGAAAACTAACATCAAGGTTTGTATAAATTAACAATTTGAAAATTTATGTGGAAAATATTTACAAATTAACACATTTTAATTTAAAGGTAATAAAAATTTAAGTCAAAATAAATAAAACTCGATGCATGTAGAATTCTATAAATAATTTATATTCCATTTGAAGTTCGTTTTGTATAATGCATGACTTCCAAGTAGTTTAATCCTACACTTCCGGATTACGGCTATTTATTTCTTACAGTAATGAGTTTCATAAGCATCCCATAAATGTTTTCCTTTTTCAATTGGCACCTAGATTTTAAAGTACTTTAATTCACAATTTACCAAATAATTTATGTTAGTGATAGTGTATCTTATAAGCTATTCATATGAGATGTATCAAGCTGAGTATTATAGTTGCTTATACGAGATACGTCTAGAGAAATGTTTTAACAACCCAGAAGGACAAAAAAAAATTGTATTTTAAAAGGGACCCAAATGAATACTATTTTCAAGATTTAGGGAAAACTCTAAATTGTGTGGGGCAAACTGTAAATTGTGATAAGCTGCTGACATGTCCCGTGCAACCAATTCAAAACTTACACATTTAAAGAACATGTCAGGATCACATTGCTCAACGAGGGAACGGCCGAGGTCATGCCATGCTAGTCTTTTGTGGCAGATTGGACGGTTGAGAGAGGAAGACTTAAATCTAATGGTTTAAACTGTCTCTAATTTAATGGCCACGATCGAACCATGACCACTGTAAAATGGGGATAAGATTGAAAAAATAAAGGCAGAAAACTTTAAATCGGTAATCTAGGACTTGTGGATGGAAGAGAGAAGAAGAAGAGAATTTAGTAGCCAGAACGCCTCGCATGACAGTCGCAGGCACCACTGTGACGAGAGGTAGCCTCCTTGGCCTTTTATTTCCTACTTTTGACTTCCTTAAAGCCAGACCGAGACCTCCCTATATAAACATATCTCCAGGACAGATCTGTGTGCATTTTGTGCGTGTGTGGCAGCATAAGTGAAGAAAAGAGAGTCAAGCCATAAACTCTCTATTTTATCTAAGATATCGAGAAGATGCAAGGATTTTGATTGAAATCCAGCCACTGACGAGAGGGGTTCGAAAGAGGACTAACACTGCAACCTAATACTATTACTCGGGAGCAGGATGTAAGTTAAATTTGTCTTTCACAACACAAATAGAAATTACATACTGAATTAGCATTGTGTTAGAATTATGATTTTGGGTGTTGAAATGACTTGGATTTTGTGTGGGGGGTGGTTGTTATGATAGAGCTTAGAGAGGATAATCAAGTGGACAGTGAGGGTGAATAAAGGAGCCATTAGAGGTCGGATATGAGAATTGCTTGGTGGAAATTAGTGAAGTAGAAAGCAAGAAAAACAAAAGAAAAAAAATAGAGAGATGGGAGAGGCTAGGGATGAAATCGGATAGGAGATAAAAATCGAGCTAGCCAGGACGAGAAAAATGAGAGATCCATTAGAGCAGAAGGAGAGTTCAATACGTGAAAAGAAAAAAAAAAAAAGAGAAGATACCGTAAGAGTTTCTGCGAGCTTTAATGTGTAGGAATAGAGTATAGAATGGAATTGGTTTCTGTGTTCAAAAGGGAAGGGTTGATGTTGAGTACTAAATTTGAAATTATGGTGATATGGATTTATTCTTTCTCATATAAAGATAAGTGTGCATTTCTGTGTTCCATGGGAAGTGTAATCTGCATAATCATGGGCCCAATAATTGGGTCACGGGGTTGACGCCCCGTGTGCTCTGCTGATGGTGTCATTGCATG